ACACTGGCTCTAGATAGGGCCGTTGGCACTTTTTTTCGCAGACGCCATAGTTTCTCATTCGCACTAGGAATGGGAGGGTGAATCGAGTAAGCTGCGATCTGTAACTACAGTACGTGCCAGGTCTTTACGTTACAATAAATGGGACAATCATACCTCTATCTCTTGCACTTGCTCCTCATTGTTGATGTACATGTGTTGCAGGGAGTCCTCCAGCTCCTTGTTGCGCTCCAGGAGAGTCTTGCCGAGCTCGGCTGCCAAGTGCAGATCTGACAGGAGCCAAGAAAGAAGAACAGGCGTAAACAGTGGAAAGTGGCGAGAGTGCACCGGAGTTCACTGCATGGTGTTGGACTTTGTCACATAGAGCTTCTGAACACATCATGGGTGCTACTGTGCTCAGTCTGCTTTATCACAGATCATATCCATACAAACCTGTTGCCACCTGCACACTGGGGGGCCTGAGCAGCGACAACACCGCAGGAACCACCCTCACAGTTGATATTTTACAACACAGCTTGAAGCATATACATTATTCATCTCCTCTGGTGAAGAGAAACCTAGCTGGACTGAGTAGGAGGAGGAGAATCCTGCTGGCCCTGCATACTTGGAGCCCATAACAACACAGCACTGGGGGAGTGGAAAGACGGGGGAAGAAACAGAGAGCCATTGACATCCATTACTTGGACATGAATACAGTGTTTTATCGCCACAGCGTAGGGCGCGAGCAATGACAGGAACACACACGCATGCATCATCGTAGGTGGAAGAGATTAGAACTGATTTACAGCTGATCCATCTGTATGCATCCATGTGGAAACTGCTATACGCAATCTAGCGTGCCCAAATGCAGCAGGAGCCCCTCTGCTTAATCTAATATAATTAACAAGGATCATTAGCTCACACTGTGCACTGTGAGGGAGATGGAGACAGGCTGTAATTTCCTGTCTCAACAATGCAGAACTGATCACACAACACTGGTCTGAACCGCAGAGTGATAATGAGCTAAGTGAGAGTGTGTGAGGAGAGAGCACAGCGAGCGTTCACCCCGAGGGCCAACCTAGTCACAGCACTGTTTCTGCTCCTGAGGGCCGACACGTGCCGAGTATTAGTTATGTAATTTCAGAATTATGTGTGAGGATGAGGCGCTGTGTTGAGAAAATACCAATTACCAGAAGCCTAATAACACAAAAGGCCTTTCCATGTAATACCATCAGTATGGAATTTGTACATTTGCTCATGTGTTTCTGCTCTCTGCACATGCATCTCTGTGATGCTCTTTGATGTGTGAATCTACAGAACGCGAAAACGTGACCATCACCACGCCATGCCATCTGCCCAGATACACTTCATATGTTTGCCAGATCATAATGAGAACAGGGGTCACCAAATCTCAAGAGCTGGCGGCCGCCAAGTTGCATAACAGCATCCTTTCTGGGGCAAAAATCATGCCCGACTACGAGTGCGTGCAGGGATGATGTTTGTTTAGAGCAGCGAGCACCGACGGCAACTATGCCTCCAATCTGACCCCAAAGCCTGGAATCTCTGATCCCGACTAAGGAGGGCTGGTTTGGGGCGCCCTAATCAGATCAGCCAGGGGCTTAATGACTTCAAGCTCCATGCTGAATAATGCTGAGATGAGATACAGACAGCGTGGCGACACTGTACTGCGCGCACACACACACACAGCAGGATCCACCTGCCTCTCTCCTCTCTGACTATATGCGATGATGAGACACAAAAGCTGCTTTAGTTCTCTGGGTCAGCAGGTAATCAGGGGGTGGGGTGATGCTCAGGCCAGCGCTGCAGACGGACACACATCTCTCTCCTCTCAAATGCACTGTCGATGAAAGTGCATCCATTTAAGACATTACAGAGGAGGCTGAACACACTCTGCATCAGTCAACACTTCTCATAGACTGAATGCCTTTGCCTCCCATGTTCCATGTTCTCACATCATTTTAGAGACTCTGAATGGAGTCTAGGACTGTTCTACAGTCTTGGTTCTGCTTTTTTTTTGCCTCAAACACACTTCTGTCACTACCTCCCCTAGATGATCAGTGCTTTCACAGTGCTTCCTCACCCAGCACAGTGGATACAGAGCGTCTGATTTAAAAAGAGAGAGACACTATGGGAGGAGAGGAGTGCTGTAAGATGTAAACCCTGCAAAGGAGGAGGATGAAACAGAGGCAACATTGACTCAGTCAGACAGCAGGACTATTCTGGGAAACACCACTGACAAGATCATAATAATTGGCAGAGGGAGAGAGCAGAGATGAAGGGCGGGCAGATCCAGGCTCGGATGCAGAGACAGACAGAGACACGGGCTCAGTTAGTGCGCGCACTTGGGCATGAAATGTTTTCCAATGGATGCAACCTCCTCCCTGCTTTCCATCCACGATCCACCCCCTCCTGCATGAATCCTTTGATCCCAGAATACAGTTGCTGTGGATGGGGCATTGTTACATCGTATGATCCCCCCCTCCCACACACACACACA